GTCGTAGTCGTAGTCGTAGTCGTAGTCGTAGTCGTAGTAGTGGTTGTATTATTATTACTAGTATTATTATTAGTATTATTATTAGCATTATTATTATTATCAGTAGTAGTAGTAGTGCTTTGGGGTTCGTGCACGTAGTAGCGTTTGGCCGGGTAGCTATGTTCCCCCAACCATAGTGTGGCGTTGGCCTCTCGTTTCGAATAGACGGTTCCCGCGTTCACCCCCCATCCTCCTCTTCCCCTTCCCCCCTCCTTCCCTTCCTCGCGAATGCCCTCCGCATGTCTTTGTTTCGGCACGCCCCTCACGCGCTTCGGGGCCCCATAGGGAGCTCCACCGAAAGGCCCCTGCGGTTGCGCTCGCATGACACCACCGCACCAATTTCGGCACCCCCCTCACACGCTTCGTGGCCCCGTAATGTCAGGCTGATGAATCGACCCCGCGTGTCGCATCTTTCTTGCGCGCGCCAGGGAGGAGGAGCAGGAGGAGGAGGAGGAGGAGGAGGAGGAGGAGGAGGAGGACGAGGACGAGGACGAGGAGGAGGAGGAGGAGGAGGAGAGAGGAGAGAGGAGAGAGGAGAGAGGAGAGAGGAGAGAGGAGAGAGGAGAGAGGAGAGAGGAGAGAGGAGAGAGGGTGGGGAGGGAGGAAAAGGAGGAGCAGGCGGAGGACGAGTCAGAGGAGGAGAAGGAGGAGAATGAGGAGGAGGAGGAGGAGAGGGAGACGGAGGAGGAGGAAGAGGAGGAGGAGGAGGAGGCCCCAGCGACGAAGAGACCGGCCGCTGCAAACGGGCACAGGCAGGGCGGGGGACGGCAGCAACAGAGGGGGGGAGGAGGACTACACGCCTTGCCCGGGTCGGACGAAAAGCTGGGGAAGGGACGGGATGGGTTGCGAAGCTTGCTGCGCGCAGCTGGTTTCGGTCGCCCCGCCGATGGGCCAGTTTGCCGAGGCATGACCGCTTTCGGCGCCAGGAAGTGCTTGGAAAATCGGCGACGTGAGCTGCTTGGCAGATCCCCTCTGTGCTGCGCCCCACTTTCGTCCAGCCCGCCTTGCCCGCAGGCCCGCATCGGTTCAACAGAAAAACTGGCGCCCTGGCTTGCCCTTGCCTCCCGACCCCCCCCCCTGCCTCTCGTTGGCGGCTGGGCGTCGGCGCTAATCACCGGCGCCGCCCCGTTAAGCGCCACCCCGCGATTCGCCCAAACGCGCGCCCCCCACGGATTTGTTAGTCACAAGCTGACATTAGGGAGCTCCACCACGGGACCGAGTGGCTGCGCTCGCATGACACCACCGTACCAATTTCGACACACCCTTCACACGCTTCGTGGCCCCATTGGGGGCTCCACCGAAGACCCCAGTAGTGGCGCTCGCACGCCACCACCGCGCCCGTTTCGACACACACACACACACACCACACGCTTCGTGGCCCCATGGGGAACCCCACCGAAGGCCCCAGCGGCTGCGCTCGCATGACACCACCGCCCTCATGTCGGCCCACCCCTCACACGCTTAGTGGCCCAATTGGGAACTCTTCCGAAGGCCCCAGTGGCTGCGCTCGCATGACACCACCGCACCTATTTCGGCCCACCCCTCACACGCTTCGTGGTCACATCGGGAATTCCACCGCGCGCACAAGTAGGTGCGTTCACACGACACCACCGCACCATTTTCGGCACACCCCTCAGGCGCTCCGTGGCCCCATGAGGAATTCCACCAACAGCTCCCGACGGCCGCACTCGCATGGCACAACCGCACCAATTCCGACACACGGCTCCCACGTTTCGTGGCCCCATATGGGGTTCCACTGAAGGCCCCAGTGGTTGCGCTCGCATTACACCACCGCACCAATTTCGGCACACCCTTCACACGGTTCGTGGCCCCATGTGGGGTTCCACCGAAGGCCCCAGTGGCTGCGTTTGCATGGCACCACCGCACCATTTCGGCACACCCCTGAGACGCTTCGTGACCCCATGGGGAATCCCACCGAAAGTTTCCAACGGCTGCGCTCGCATGGCACAGCCGCACCAATTCCGACACACAGTGGCACGTTTCGTGGCCCCATATGGAGCTCCACCGAAGGCCCCAGTGGTTGCGTTCGCATGACACCACCGCGCCGATTTTGGCACACCCCGCACACGTTTCGTGGCCCCATAAGGAGCGCCACCGAAGACGATACAAACACTTGCGTTTTGCACAAGGGCATATGGTTGGGCCATTCGCCTGGACATTTCTCAGCCGTCATATGGTTTTGGGTCATCGTGTTGAAGAGACGGCGTTCCGCCGTCCTATCATCATCAGCATCAGCAGCACAATCGTCATCATCCTCATGGTCAGCATCGTTTTCATCATCATCGCCATTGTTATCGTCATCGCCGCCATCGTCACCATCATCGCCACCCATTTCGGCACACCCCACATGCATAGGGAGCTCCACCGAATGCTCCAGCGGCTGCGCTCGCATGACATCGCCGCACCTATTGTCGCATACCCCTCACACTCTTCGTGGCCGTCATATGGTTTTGGGTCATCGTGTTGAAGAGACGGCGTTCCGCCGTCCTATCATCATCAGCATCAGCAGCACAATCGTCATCATCCTCATGGTCAGCATCGTTTTCATCATCATCGCCATTGTTATCGTCATCGCCGCCATCGTCACCATCATCGCCACCCATTTCGGCACACCCCACATGCATAGGGAGCTCCACCGAATGCTCCAGCGGCTGCGCTCGCATGACATCGCCGCACCTATTGTCGCATACCCCTCACACTCTTCGTGGCCCCATAGGGAGCTTCACCGGACCCCCAATTGGCTGCGCCCGAATGACGCCACCGCACCTTTTTTTTAGCACGCCCCTCGCACGTTTCGTGGCCCCGTAGGGAGCTCCACCGAAGGCCCCGAGTGGCTTCGTTCGCATGACGCCACCACGCCCGTATCGGCATACCCCTCACACGCTTCGTGGCCCATAGGGAGCTCCACCAGAGACCCCATTGGCTGCGTTCGAACGACGCCATCGCATTTTTTTCAGCACGCCCCTCACACGTTTCGTGGCCCCATAGAGAGCTCCACCGAAGGCCCCGAATGGCTGCACTCGCATGACGCCACCGCGCCCGTTTCGACACACCCCTCACACGCTTCGTGACCCCATGGGGAACCCCACCGAAAGCGACAGCGACTGCGTTCGCATGACACCACCGCCCTCATGTCGGCCCACCCCTCACACGCTTAGTGGCCCAATTGGGAACTCTTCCGAAGGCCCCAGTGGCTGCGCTCGCATGACACCACCGCACCTATTTCGGCCCACCCCTCACACGCTTCGTGGTCACATCGGGAGTTCCACCGCACGCCCCAGTAGGTGCGTTCACACGACACCACCGCACCTATTTCGGCACACCCCTCAGACGCTTCGTGGCCCCATGGGGAATTCTACCGACAGCTCCCAACGGCTGCACTCACATGGCACAACCGCACCAATTCCGACACACGGCTCCCACGTTTCGTGGCCCCATATGGAGCTCCACCGAAAGCCCCAGTGGCTGCGCTCGCATGACGCCACCGCACCAATTTCGGCACTCCCCTGATCTTTGGGCCCCGCTGGCTCCGGCCGCCCCAGCTCGTGGGCGGGCGGGGGGCGCAGGCGGAGCGGCGGAGCAGCGGCGGCGGGCTGATGTGCCAAGGGCCAGAGGGGGCGCGCCGCGTCACGATACGCTCGTCGTGCTACGCTTCGGCGGCCAGCGAGGGGGTGGGAAGGAGAAGCAGGGCGCGAGCTAAACGGTATTTTGGCGATTTCTTGGGCCGTCTTCGTTTTGATTTCGTTCCGCAGCAAAGACAAGACGAAGGAACACAAACACAAAACGAAAGCATCACGCACTGTTTGGCTCGAGCTGAGAGGAGAAGGTCCTGTCAGAAGGAGGCGGGGCTTCTCAGACGCCTTCGCGCCTTCGGAGAAGTGTTCTGTGCTGTGCCTTTGAGGGAGACTGAGCAATGTTTTCCGAAGGCCGGGGAACTTCAGGGCCTTCTGAGAAGGCCCACCTCTTCTCGCTTCTCCCTTACAGTCATCCCGCATAGTAAGTATGAGCGATTTTTCAACGTTGCCCTTGCATCCTTCCCCTTCGGCCCATCCTTGGCCGCTTTCGCTGGCCGCGCCCCGCCCGCAAAGTGTCGACATGGCCTTCAAGGCCCTTGCATCCTTATCGTGCGTCTTCCTTCTATGTATTGATTGTAGAATTAGGTCGTTGGAGCCGTCTGGAGGCCTGGGATGGCCCTGGTGCACTGCGGCACCCGCCAGCAGGAAGGGCGGGCAGGCTCGAAGCTCTGGGAGCGGGGAGATGTTCTGCCCTCTTCGGCCTCCGGGTTCTGTTTCGGGCCCCAGGGCCGTGAAAAACGGGTCCGGAGTGCAAAACTCCATCAGTTGCACCCCAGGGGTGGTCTGGGAGTTGACTTTGACCTCCGAGTGACTGTGTCTCTCCTCCGTCTCTCCTTCTCTCCTTCCTCCTGCCCCGAATGATTCCAGAGCGAGGCAGCCCATACGTGGCGCGGTCATACCCTGTGTTGCTCGAAGGTGCAGGAAATCACAAAATCCCTTGCCTTCCTCTCGCTTATCTGCTCTCCCGTCCCCTCCCCATCCCTATTCCCTCCACCCCACCTCCTTAATCCCCCTCATCCTCCTCCTCCCCTTCCTGCTCCTAGGCATCGTGCCTCGTCCTCTGGGCTAGGGCAATGGCTTCGCTTGTGCTGCGATGTTTCTCTCTCCGGTGTTGCTGCTGTCATGGATGCAGATGAGGAACCTGATTGAGAGGTGGGAGTCATGAGGCGGAGGAGGAGTATACGTAGACAGGACGATGAATAGGAGTTGGAGGAAGAGGAAAATGACTGACGCTACGGTCTCAGACGAGCCCAATAGCCCGCCTAAGAAAAAAATAATATGGAAAAATAGCAGGACGACTAATTCAAGACAGGCAGACGAGTTCGGGAGGGAAGGATCAAGGCCCGTGGCGCCGTGTCCCGGCAGGAGAGGGAGAAGCTGATGGAGACTTTCACCATGCTCAAGCAGACCATGGATTCGCACAGTCAGGACCCAGCTGCTGCTGCTGCTGCTGGTGCTGCTGTTCCTCGTCAGTACACGCTGGTCGTTGAAACTAGGTATTTTGGGATTCCCAGGTCCCAGTCTACTTCAAGAGCCTTCCCACTTCAATCATCGATATGCTTTTGCTGCGTTGCGTTATTTTCTGGGAGGGCCTGAACCCAATCTACCTTTTCCGCCTTCCTACTTCATATTTCTAACCCCTTCTTCCGACCGACGGGAAATTTTGCAACGCAGCTTGCACGAGGGGTAAGAGAGAACCCCAGCTTTGGCTGGGTACACTTGTGTTCTTCGTGCTATTGGTGGGGTCCTCCCTGGAGTGCTCTCCGTTTGGCGTATCTCGGCATGTCCGTGCGCATTCGGCGAGGAGTGGCTCATGTTGTTGACCCACGTTCTTGTCGCCATATTTCGCCCGTGTCTCAGGAGAACGATACATGGGCACATAATTGTGGAAGTCCGCGCAGGTTTCGTCGGTCGGCGCTGTCCCCCATGGCGGCGCCTCCGGTGCCACCGCTCCTGGCGCGCTCCGCACGCTAGGGGGAGGCGGGTCCATCACCATGCGGATCTCTGGAAGTGACTGTATGTGTCGCTTCGTTACCCTCTATCTCCATGCTGTCAAAGACAACATTGTTGACGCTTCGCGTAACCCCATCGGACGATGTCAGCTACGCTTTCGGTCCGCTCATACCCGACAGACACCCTGGGCTGACACCTTCTTGCACGGAGACTCGTTCCCACCACCATGCGATTGTCGGTCCGACACGATCCATGACTGGGGATGTGCGACGCGCCATTTTGGCCGCGTCCGCCTTGCTTCCTGGGTGACTGACCCCTCAGACTCCCTGGGTTGCTGCTTGCACCGCCGCCTGGCCTTTCAGACGCCCTGGGTTGCCGCCTGCACCGCCGCCTGATCCGCGGCCCCCGCGCGCGCCCGGGAATTCGTCACGGCCGCAGCCCGACCGTGACCTCCCGCCGCCGGCGCTTCCGCCTGCGGCTGTTAAAAAACAATTCGCCTGGCGAAGGACCCAACCATATGCAGCTGCGAGTACCGCGCGGATATGACACGAAGGAGGGGGCACGCAAACTAGGCCCTTCTTTTCATAGGCACCGCGCCACTGGGGCCTTCGGTGGAGCTCCCTATGGGGCCACGAAACGTGTGAGGGGTGTGCCGAAATGGGTGGTGGGGAGGCATGCGAGCCCAGCCAGTGGGGCCCTCGGTGGAGCTCCCTATGGGGCCACGAAACGTGTGAGGGGTGTGCCGACATGGGTGGTGGGGAGGCATGCGGACCCTGCCACTGGGGCCTTCGGTGGAGTTCCCTGTGGGGCCACGAAACGTGTGAGGGGTGTGCCGAAATGGGTGGTGGGGAGGCATGCGAACCCTGCCACTGGGGCCTTCGGTGGAGCTCCCTATGGGGCCACGAAACGTGTGAGGGGTGTGCCGAAATGTGTGGTGGGGAGGCATGCCCCTGCCACTGGGGCCTTCGTGGAGCTCCCTATGGGGCCACGAAACGTGTGAGGGGTGTGCCGAAATGGGTGGTGGGGAGGCATGCGAACCCTGCCACTGGGGCCTTCGGTGGAGCTCCCTATGGGGCCACGAAGCGTGTGAGGGGTGTGCCGAAATTGGTCGTAGGGAGGCATGCGAACCCTGCCACCGGGGCCTTCGGTGGAGCTCCCTATGGGGCCACGAAACGTGTGAGGGGTGTGCCGAAATGAGTCGTGGGGAGGCATTCGAACCCTGCCAGTGGGGCCTTCGGTGGAGCTCCCTATGGGGCCACGAAACGTGTGAGGGGTGTGCCGAAATGGGTGGTGGGGAGGCATGCGAACCCTGCCACTGGGGCCTTCGGTGGAGCTCCCTATGGGGCCACGAAGCGTGTGAGGGGTGTGCCGAAATGGGTGGTGGGGAGGCATGCGAACGCAGCCACTGGGGCCTTCGGTGGAGCTCCCTATGGGGCCACGAAACGTGTGAGGGGTGTGCCGAAATGGGTGGTGGGGAGGCATGCGGACCCTGCACTGGGGCCTTCGGTGCTCCCTATGGGGCCACGAAACCTGCCAAAACGAACATGCGAACCCTGCCACTGGGCCTTCGGTGGAGCTCATGGGGCCACGAACGTGTGAGGGGTGTGCCGAAATGGGTGGTGGGGAGGCATGCGAACCCTGCCACTGGGGCCTTCGGTGGAGCTCCCTATGGGGCCACGAAACGTGTGAGGGGTGTGCCGAAATGGGTGGTGGGGAGGCATGCGAACCCTGCCACTGGGGCCTTCGGTGGAGCTCCCTATGGGGCCACGAAACGTGTGAGGGGTGTGCCGAAATGGGTGGTGGGGAGGCATGCGAACCCTGCCACTGGGGCCTTCGGTGGAGCTCCCTATGGGGCCACGAAACGTGTGAGGGGTGTGCCGAAATGGGTGGTGGGGAGGCATGCGAACGCAGCCACTGGGGCCTTCGGTGGAGCTCCCTATGGGGCCACGAAACGTGTGAGGGGTGTGCCGAATGGGTGGTGGGGAGGCATGCGAACCCTGCCACTGGGGCCTTCGGTGGAGCTCCCTATGGGGCCACGAAGCGTGTGAGGGGTGTGCCGAAGGCATGCGGCCACTGGGGCCTTCGGTGGAGCTCCCTATGGGGCCACGAAACGTGTGCCGAAATGGGTGGTGGGGAGGCATGCGAACCCTGCCACTGGGGCCTTCGGTGGAGCTCCCTATGGGGCCACGAAACGTGTGAGGGGTGTGCCGAAATGGGTGGTGGGGAGGCATGCGAACCCTGCCACTGGGGCCTTCGGAGGAGCTCCCTATGGGGCCACGAAACGTCTGAGGGGTGTGCCGAAATGGGTGGTGGGGAGGCATGCGAACGTTGCCAAGGGGGCCTTCGGTGGAGCTCCCTATGGGACCACGAAACGTGTGAGGGGTGTGCCGAAATGGGTGGTGGAGAGGCATGCGAACCCTGGAGGGAGGAGGGCGAGGAGGAGGAGGAGGACGAAAAGGAGGAGGAACGCGGGGACCGTCTCTTCAAAACGAGGACCCAACACCACAGGATGGTTGGGGGAAAAAAAAAAACGGAACCCCATAACCCCATGCAGAAATTATGCCCAGGGGAGTTGAGGTGATCAGGGAAGTGGGGGGGCATGCAGAAGAACAACGGGCGGGGAAAGCCGTCCGATACCCCAAGTGAGGGAACATGGTGGAGGAGAAGGAGGAGGAGTAGAAGGACGAGGGGGGTGATGAGAAGAAAGGAGGAAGAGACAGTGGACGAGGAGGAGGAGGATGATGATGAGGAGGAGGAGGAGGAGCATCTTGGCGAGCCCAGGGGCTTCTTTGAGGCTCCTGGGTGCGTCAGAGATCCTCTTGAGGCCTCTACCGGGCCTCTTGGGAGCTTCCTGGAGGCCTTTTGGGTGCCTTTTGGGGCTGTCAAGGCGCCCGTTGGGTCCCTCTTGGGGCGCTCTTGGGGGCTTTAGGGGCAGTCTTGGAGCGATCTTGGAGGATATCGATCAAAAAAGAGGGGCTCCTCAATTCCCCTCCCCCCTTGGGAGTCCCAAAAGTCGCCTCTTGGGGCGCTTTTGGGGCGCTCTTGGGCGCTCTTGGGGCCGTCTTGGGGCTCTCTTGGGTCTCTCCTGGGGCCCTCTTGGGCCATCTTGGAGCCATCTTGAGGCCTCGGATCGCCACCGGAAACGAAAAGGCGAGAAAGCAACAAACATTCGTTCCCTTCAGGTTTTGAAAGGATTTGGGCCTCTTCGGGGCCTCCTTGGGAGCTCTTTGGCCACTTGGAGCCGTCTTGGAGCGGTCTTGGGGCCTCTTGAAGCACCTGGGGAGCCATTTGGTGGCATCTTGGGATATATTGAGCCATCTTGGAGCTCATCTTGGGCCCTCCCAGGCGCTGTTGGAGCCATCTTGGGCCATCTTGGACGCCCCACCCCGTCGGAGGACCCCACCCTGTCGAAGGACCCCCCATCCAGGGTCAAGACTCCCTCCCCGCCTGCAAACCGTCTCGCTCACTCCCACCCGCCCTCCCAACACATACGCAGCACCCGAGCCTGGCCCGAGCCGCAGCACATTCAGCAGTCGTCTTTGGATGGGCAGCTACTGGGGGCGAATCCGCCGCCGCCGCCGCTGCCTCCGCCGCCGCCGCCGCCGCCGCCCGCCGCCGCCGCCGCGCCGCCGCCGCCGCCGCCGCTGTCCGCCGCCGCCGCCGCCGCCGCCGCCCGCCGCCGCCGCCGCCGCCGCCGCCCCCGCTGCCGAATCGCCGCCGCCGCAGCCGCTGCCGCCGCAGCCGCTGCCGCCACCGCTGCCGCCGCCGCCGCCGCCGCCGCCGCCACCGCCGCCACCGTCGCAGCCGCCGCATCCGCTGCCCCCGCCGCAGCCGCCGCAGCCGCTGCCGCCGCCAAGTGTATTCTGTACTGTTTTTTGAAAGGGATGGTGGGGGGAGGCAACATCGGGTTCGCTGCGCATGCTCCGAATTTAGAGGCAGAATGTGTTGTATTTTGTTTTTAACAAGGGAAGTTGGGGGGGGGCCCTCATTGACTCGGGTTGGCTCCCAGTCGTCTGGGGGAGGGGGTGTATAAACCCGTTTCCGAAGGGGAAGATGGGCAGATGGAAGTCAAGGCGCGCTAGACCACCTACGCCCTAAGGGCTGATGGGGCTACTTTTGCAGATGCCCGTGCATACGTGCTTCTTCGACTCAGATGTGGCCATGGATCCTAGAGCAGTTGGCATGGTGCAGCTGCAATCGTTTCCATTGAGCGTCCAAGGGTTTTACGCCGTGCAGCATCACATTGTGTCCGTACTCGTTGAGGTTGTAATCCTCCTCGTGGTCACCCCCCTCCCTCCGCCACCACCTCACCAGGGCCCCCAACTAGGGCCAGAGTAGATGACGTTCGGGGGACCGAGAGTAAAACATTATGGAAACGGTAAGGCGGAGGAGAAGACAAGCAAGAGAGGAGGACAGTAACGAAGTGAGGAGGACGATGCAGGATAATGAGGAGGAGGAGAATGTGGACGATGAGGAGAGGC